CCATACTGGTGTCTTAGCTGTTTTGAAGGATCAAATCAGCTGAAAAAGTCTTTAGAACTGATTCGGAAGCAAAAAGGCCCTGAAACTGTGCAGTGCTGCAAACATAGAATGAAAGGTCATGTATATGGGTCCGAAGTACGGCTTTTGACAGCCGCCGACGCCCAGTGATAAAGAAGAACATTCCTTTATTTGTTTAACATCCAATAATATTTACAATCGTGGTCAAAGGTATAGTTATTACGACGATTTTCTCTGACTTTGATCTTCTGATCAGCTAGGTTCAACTATCACGATATTAGTGTTATGGCTTATTTAATTTTCGTACAAATGTAGAAAAACGTGCCCTGGCATAAAGTAGTTTCCATACGACGTGTAGAAGTTGATATTTACAACGTGGAAAGGAAACACAATAGGTAACCAATCTAGGTACAACTAACACTGTGGCAAATGAAGGCAATCACACGCAAGCACATTGATTGTTTTACGGGTTCATAAAGTTGCAATTAGTTACTACTAGTATTCAATATTGTACGTAAGCGACTTGGCAGTGTTGATAGCATACTTTGCATTGTCTACATAGATTTGACCAATCATGTTACACTTCACAAAGTGATATAGGAAAAAACAGTCTATCCCTAATAGATAGTCACACCTATCTTAATTCTTTGGATTGTATTTCTAACACTATATGTACATAGAGCTTTCTGTTAAATGACTGAAATCATAAAGGTGTAGTTAGTTACTAGCAGACAGTTTCATGGCTCCAAAATACGTGCTGTCCATGCCATATCCGTGCCGATGTTGCACTTCTTGCTCGTCTTCACGTAGATGTAGACTTTGGCCCTGTACTTGAGGTCCAGCACCCCGCCTGTGTAGCACGTGTAGCGCGGAGGGTAACATACAGGTCAGGTACGGGTCCTCGCCTACTCTTTTGGAGTATTGACTGCCTGCGTCTCTCTCGTCCCCTGCAAACTCTATCTGTTCAATGTGGATGGAATTGAAAGTCAGTAGCAATGGAAGTAAAGCCCAGCGAAGTCTTAGAAATTACAATGTAATATACATGTGTATAACGTTTCGTTAGGTCTGTCAGAATGTGGGTACGTTTAAGGATTCGGTGATGAAAAAAGTAGGCTTTCTATTTTTTTTTTTTACTTTTTAATTTCTGGATGTAAGAGTTATCTTATTTATCTTGCTCACCTGGCTGTAGATGAAGTATTTTCCCGGTTCCAGAATCTCAAGCTTCCCATCCTCAAACCCAAATCGTGGCTCGTGAATGTCTTCCCACTGGGTGAAGATGCCGTCTGAAAAAGGTGACACGTATAGTGCAGTATTCTAAGTCATACACACGTATGTTTGGACTATCATGCTCATGAGTAGTACGTAGTACTGATCAGTACGTACAATGGTTAATAAGACTGACCAAGGGTTTGCAATGTTAGGATCTATTTCACCTAAAAACAAGAGTTCCGAGATTTAATACCTCCATGAAATATGGTCTTGATATGTAAAGTTCTTCTTTAATTATGCAAATGACCTCTGCATTAACATGATATATGCATCGTGATTTTAACTTTTGATTAACTTACAGATGTCCCAAGTGAGACATTCCCATCATTCACCATTAAGAAATCATAGAATTGTCGCATTGATTATGCAAATTAGGTCATAATTATGAAATTATGAAAATATGTTGTTCCTATCTGGATTTATTGGCTTTTAAACATTTCGCCAGAAAGTGCTCTGCAGTTCCAGAACAAGCTGCTAGGGAGACCAAACCCACACCACTTATTCCTGACAGAAAAAGCTATCTGTCACTAAAACATCAAGACCATAGCATGTTCAGGACAAAAGATACAAAAACCGGAAGTTCTGCTGCAGTACCAAGGTCATCCACCAGGAGGCCCATATTTGACCTTGACCTTTGTCTTCCTAAGACTTACCAACATACCAAATATCATCATAATCCATAAAGGCGTTATGAAATGTGCGGAAACATGCACAAACACACACACAGACAGACAGACACACACACACACACACACACACAGACACGCCAAAAACAATACCTCCATTTTTCATGGAGGTAATAAGTCCAAAAAGAAATGCAAAGATATGCAAAGTGGCCGTTCCCCACATGCGCTTACACTGGTCCCCCTCTTTTAGGTTGACAGCACATGGATGGGGGAAAATCGACAGGCCAAAAGGTCAGACACAGGACATAGGGGAAACCTGAAGGTCTTGAACCAGCAACTACATGTACATTCAAGCTGTTTATTTTATTTCATCACATCATTGCAGAATAATGACAGCTTCTCATCAACATGATAACAGTTTGTTAAACTTATCATGTCCGAACGCACACAATTTCCTAATTAAAGATACATGTACCAAATATGATGACGACAAAATCACTATCATACAAGGCATGCAATCACTTTTTTTTTACAAAATTCATAAATGCACTTTGTCTACCTTAAGCCAACACTCAGACAAAACAACAATTAATAGCAGCTTGATGGTACATGTACAATGTATAAGGGATTACGTCAGATATCCCATTATTGGACATTGTTGTACAGGAAAATTCATGGATAGACACCGCAAACATGACATGTACAGTCAGGTATTCTCAAGCCTTGGCCCCGCCAATTTAATTTCTTGGTTCACATGAAAAAACAATGGAGTGGTTAGGCTTAATAAAGATTAATAGAAATAGGCATCCTGTGATGCATGTAGACCCAAATGTAACTGTTACAGGAGCCACAAACTCAACATACCAGGTTAAGCCTTATGGTTAGGCAACACCAATTTAATTTGTTGTTTCTCATATTTCTTTAGAAAAAATATGGAGCGACATTGCGAAAAAAAAAACCAAGCCAAGGCACCCCATGATAGCTGGAAATATTACAATATGAGCCATGAAGTGAACATACCAGGCTGGTTTATAATTAAAACTGTAGTTTTAATGAAACAAAATTGTTACATTGAAAAACTTTAACAACCAGGAAGAAAGGACTTTCTTCAACCGTTGGGGCCAAAATATGTCTTTCATTGAACCTATTGCAGTTAATTTAGAACAAAAAAAATTTTCTTTTTGCAAGTCAGAAAAGAAATGAACAGGGTGATCCGAGAAGCAACAAATTAAATTGGTGTGGCCTAAAGAAACAATGGAGCAGGTGGGCTTAATAAAGATTAGAAATAGGCATCCTGTGATAGACACACAAAAATTCATGATAGCCACCAACTAAACATACCATGTTAAGCCTTACGGTTAACATTCTACACAATGAGTTCTAAAACTCATGCAATTCGTTCATTCAAAATGGAAAAAAAACACAGGCAACTGTTTGTGCCAAAATACGAAATAGTGCATGTGACCTACAATAATCAGAAAAGTATGCAGCAAGTCCCTAAACCCAGAAAGTGAATTGTTGTGGCCTTACTGCAAAATGCTGTGTACTACTTTAACAAGTATCCACACATCCACATCATCACATTTCTAGAACTGACCAAATACTGAAAATCTTGAAACAAATTTGAAGTCAATTTTTCCAGTGGCCTCTTTATTGCATGTGAATTCACGACACTGCAAATACATTATTTTTCTTATTTGTATGATTACACAAATACTGCAAAATCTCTTTTTCCCTCTAACTGTAAAATAAAACCACCACAAATTAATGTAAATGAATTTACGGTGCATGTACAATTGTAGGTGGGACAAAACTTCATTATTGCTACACATGCCTGACAGCTTTCAAAATCTGGCTTTATTTCAGGATTCATTCCAACATATTCATTCCAAATTAGCATTTCCTCATATTCATAACCACATTAATAACCATAACCATTTCCTAACTTGGTTACAGTACTGCACAATCCAACAACCAAAGTGGAGGAAATCATAATTTTGATTATCTTTAACAACATGATATTCCACACGGTCAAAAGAAAAAAAAGTTAGACACAGATTATACTATACTAGCATTTCTGTTTAACAGAAGCAATCACTATTATAATATTAAATTTGTTTCAGAATTTCTGAAATCAAAAACTAGTGCATGTACGATATCTCGTATTCACATATACTATGTAGTCAAAAGTATGCATTCCCTCAAAATTTTGGAGATGGACTTTGCTACATTCAAAATATTGACAAAGAGATCCCATAGCCTTTTTGTAGGAGCAGTGGGCTAATAACTGCAATCGAAGTCAGGAACCCATTTGATGTGTGGGAAGTTTTGCTTTTCCAAAGATACAACATCCAGCCATGTCCCTTGTCCGATACTCAAACATAATCACCGATGATACATGTACTTCTCTTCATGTAACTAACGTCTCTCACCAGTATTTGCCCAACAAGATAATACCATTCCATACTACCTACAGGTACAGTCACATACCAGTAGTTACAAGAAACAATAATCATTGATACGTGTACAAAGAAAGCAAGGCATGCTTTGTGTAGGTCAAGAAGTTTTAGACTGTTCTCAGAACAGAACTTCATGATATTCCACCCAGACATCGAGCAGAAAGCAGGAAATCTATTGCATACTGTCCTGTGTGTTTTCTATGCCACTTCTCTGTGAGGTTTCTGGACGTTTCGCGGCCAGACGGGTTCGCGGCCAGACGATTCGCGGTCACTTCTGGGTCGTTTATTATTCGCTGTCAACATGTTTTGTTGCATTTCTAGACAGCAAAAATCAAGACTGTAAATTTTAATAGTATTAATATTTTGATAATGTGCGTGATGAAATTGTTTTGTATACTTTTTCATCCCTTCTTACTAATAGGTAATATTCCAACTTAAACAAGTTGTATGTTACATAATGTTAGAAAACAGTTTAAAATGTCATAAGATGGAAATAAAAGAGGTTAAAGTGTATCGTGGAGACTACAACCTTTTTGCGTAAATACAACAGTCCTTAAAAGTTATCTTAGCAACAGGCAGTGATTGTAGCAGCCTTTATGGCGTGTGCACGGTGGCTGCGAATCTTGAAGGAAGTGGCCGCGAATCGTCCAGGAAGTGACCGCGAATCGTCTAACCTCGAACATGTCTGGCGGAGAAACGTCCAGATACCCTCTGTGAATCTACATTTCTGTCACACGAAGGCGAGGCTGTTACGTAGGAATGCGTCCGCGGAGATACTCCAGTAGGTCTGCCGTGCTTTTAGCCAGGATGGCGGGACGAGGGTTACGGAAAGGATTCCCTCCCAGCTGAAGAGATCTACAGACAAAGAACAAAACTTTAGATTCAAAGTTCATCAAGACGGGCCAAAAAAAACAAGGTTCCTACATTTTCCTACATTTTAAAATTTTGACTCAATCATTGTACAAAATATTGGTTTTTATTCAGTGGGAACATCACATATTCACAACCAGCATCACATATCACTGCATCAAAGTGAGAAACAAAACATGTTTAAATCAGAGCCTTTTCTTGTCTCCTCTCTTCATAGTTATCTGCCATCCACCTTCTGGCATGGCATGTTGACAACAAAATTTTTTTTTTTTCAAAATTAGGCAAAAATTAATGCGTGCACTGATGTCATTCATAAATTACTTCACTACCAAAAATGTTTTTTCTTATTTTCTTATGTTGAGAAATATTTTCTTACCAGGGGGATTTTCAAGAAAATTCAAGAAACATTCTTCAAAGATTTTGTATGTTGATTCTTACACAAAGAATTTTATTCTTCTTTTTTCTTAAGAAAAGAAAATATTTCTACTATCATGCTCACCAACAAGAATTTTAAGAAAGTTTACAGTACTTTTTTTCTGCTACAAGAAATCTTTTCTTGTGTACAGAGCGGTTTTCTTGCTTCAAGAATAGTTAGCCATTAGTTCAAGAAATATTTTCTTGTGGAGGAATCGTTTTTTTTTGCTACAGCAAGAAAACTTATTAGAAACACAATGTGTTTCTTGAATTTTCTTGCTACGGGGATTCTTTAATTTCTTGTTCAAAGAATAATTTTCTTGCTACAAGATACCATTTCTGTGTACAAGGAAAACAAAAAAAAGGTTAGTGAAAATTTGTGGCCTTATGCACAACACAGAAAAACCATGCAGCTGCTCCAGACCTGAGGCTGGTGACATTCCCCAGCTGCGGCGGCACCTGCATGATGTCGTTGTTCTGCAGGTCCAGGGTAGCCAGCTGCGGCAGCTGCAGCAGACCCGACACGTCGATGGCAGCGATGTGATTGTCGTTGGCAAAGATGTTCTCCAGTTTAACCAGAGAGTACAGGACGGACGGAAACTCCTGAAACCTGGAAATATAGAAACTAAATTTTTGCACCATCCATAATCATATACTTATTATATAGAAAGAAATAAGAACTTAATTGCACAACTGTTAAAGCAGATATAATGTATGGCAAGGTATACATAATTGTTAGTGCTAACATTTATTCAAAGTTCTAAGAAGCTTAATCTACTTTATGGATAATAATAATCCATCTACAGTTGTATGATCTTGGTTCCTACTCATAGGTTGAAGCTGATACAAAGTTTTTATCAGAAGTCTCTATCATACATGTACATCATTTCTTACAATAAAGACACATAAATTATGCTATACTCGAACTCGATTATAAATAAGTAAAATTATAAATGAGAGTGCTTCTGCAATCAGGAATGTACATAATTTTTATATAGTTTATCGAAGGAAAACATAATATTGTTTCTGCTCAGTTTCTTCTCCTTCTCCAAAGAAATTAAAGGTCAATGACCTGAACTAGACCTCTGTCACTATCATATGGTACATCGTAACTAAATTTAAATGCAAAAAATGTTGCCTTTCTAGTTCCATTGTTTACATACATATCACTGTGTGTGTTTGTGTGTTGTTAAGTTAAATGTAGCAGGGCTGCAGGAACTGGGGTGGATAGAGATTTGTTCCTGCAGATTGACCTTAAGGTCAAGTTGGCAGTTTAAATTTAATAACTGCTGACACATACAGACCTGTTAAAACTGATGGTGACCTCTCTCAGCTGCTGCAGGTTCCCGACCTCTGTGGGGAGGGTGCTCAACTGGTTGTTCCTGCATGTGTTCAACACAGGCACAATCAGTTCATCTGTGTTGGTAGTTACAATTATTGTTTAAATTTAAAACTTGGTCCAACACAAAAAATTACTCTCACTTAGAGCTTTCGATCAGTCACTCTGGTCTTCCTATTTCTTGAGAGGAGTGATAGCCATCTAATCGGGGCCCATCACCCTTTATTGAACTGCGATGGGGGCCGACATCATCTACCAGATACCTTTGACCCAGTGTTGACGTCACACTTCAAAGAAGCCACGTGACAAGCTTCACTGGTCAATCTACTGAGGAAGACCAGACTGACTGGTCGAAAGCTCTAGGTGAGAGAATTTCTTGTGTTCGACCAAAATTTTAACTTTAAACAACAAAGTCACAAGTTAGGATGTTGAAATGTTTGAGATGATTTCCTTTCTCATATTACACAATCATACTAAAGTACGCATGTGTTTGGTATTTGTACTGCTACAGTTGCTGTAGTGCTAGAGAATTGAAATACATCAGGCGTTATGAAGGCCTAATTTCTTTTTCATTTTCTTTTCCATTTTTCAGTGGTGTTAATAGGTGGAGTTACATGACTTTGTATTAAGTAGAGTTGAAGTGATTGTAAAATGATCATTTGGAAATTATTTTTAGCTGGTAGTTTCCTTTACATGAACATTTTGTAACAACATTTCACAACACTGAATCATTGTAAAATGTTGAACACACAGTTTACAGAGAGATCACATTTGTAAACCCTAACTCTTGCGAGATCACGTTGTGAAGTGATTGGTCATTAATTATCCTGATGAAGGCGACAGTGGTCGCTGAAAATTTGATCTCTCTGTAAACTGTGTGTTGGAATAAAGTTCAACTTTTTACTATGATTACTACCAACACAGATGAACTTTCATGGTAATACATGTATTACAAGTTTTATTGCAAATTCATGCCCAAGGGCTAATTGCATGAACAGAAGAAACATTTGGTATAAAAACAGATAATTAGTACACATGGAACTACTAACTACTAAGAAACTACTAGTTAAAACTACTCAGGGTTTGACTTCTTTTTTTAAGACAGAGGAAGACAAAGGATCCCACTTTTTCTGTAATTTGTGGGTTTTCGGATGTTAAGAGGAGGGTAGTTTTCTTTTCATTTGTATATGTGTGAAAGTTTTGGTAGAATTTGGAGACTACATCAAAGAGTTCATTTCGTTCATTGCTATAGAGGGTACAATTTGAGATAAAACGAATTTCGTCTTCCACCGTATTCAGCGTACAATGTTTGCAAATTCGTTCATACACTTGGGGCTTCTTATATCGCCCTCTCTCAATTTCGAGAGGGTGTGCACTAATTCGTAATTTACTTATTGCAGAGCGAATGTTAAAATACTGATTAACAACAAAGATTCTATTATTTTTCGGATACTTTGATGACAAGAATATCCTGTATACTATTATTCATTTGATATGTACAAAACTATGTACAAAAATATTTGGGTGCACCAGTGCACCCACAGAAAAAAATTGGGTGCACAGCTCCAATTTTGGGTGCACTAAGGTGCACAAGCACCCAGTATTGCGAGCCCTGCAAGGGATAGGACTTAACCAAATTTTTGACAGTATACAACTCTAGTCTTTGTCATGGAATGACATTAAGGAATTCCTAAACAGGGGTTAAAATACTTTTTTCAGCCAGGTTGCCCGGGCGGCAACCTGGGTCAAAAGCCAGGTTGCCCCATCAGGATTTCAGGTTGCCCCATTTCAAAGGAACTGGATTCTTCAAATCTGCTACCCAATATCCATTATCCTTTCTTTTTATCAATTAATAGGTTTGTTTATCAAGTAGCAAACACAACAGCTGTCAAACATCATCGTTTATTCAAAAATGCTACCTTCATAGGGGTGGGTTCCTGTTCCGTTCTTTCAGGTCCAGGTCCAGAGGATCAGGTCCAGGTCCGGACCTGTACCTGTACCTGATTCTGGATACCGGACTATCAGTACCAACTTAATTTTTGCTGAATGATCATTGCTAAATACTAAATGTATAGTAACCAATACAATTTTTTTTTAAATTTTTTTTTATACATTGTATTTATTTTTATTTTTTCATACTTATTTTTATTTTATTTCATCCTATTTTAATTTTATTTTATTCTATTTCATCCGTTCTAATCATCATCAAACTTCTCCTCTACTCTCCTCTATGGCTAAAACCGATATTAAGGCCGCACAACACAGTATTCATGGGCGAACCCCGTAGTCAAAAGTAGTCCGGGCACAAAGTAGTGCTACACAATACTAGGGAAGGGTGCAGAGATTGTTTTGTGCATGGCATCGAGACAGAACCTGTGGTAAATGTTAGAGGAATACGTCAGTTTTGAGACTGTAAAAGTTGGATTATGGTGCGTGTTGAGTCGGCGTAGATTTGCGCTTGGATACTTGTCCCGCCTAGTACTGTGCGTCGGCTGCAGTTCCATGACCTCCGCAGTGGCGCTAATAAAAGAGGGCGCGAGAAGAGAACTAGCCGGCAAATTTAAGCTCATTTTCACATATTTTGTACACTATACCCTGAAATTAAACATATCAAAATTCTGAACCTTGCTTGTGCACCCTAGTATGATTTTCCGTGAGTCGAAGTGAGTCACTTTGGGGTCCTTAACTATAGAAATCCCCATAGGGCTAATACTGTGTTGTGCCGCCTTGAACCCCCACGGGAATTAATCAACCGCGTCAAATTCGGTGAAATCTGCTTAGTATATCTGGTACTGACGTCGGTTCAAGTAAAATACACCAGTTTATTTCACCGTCAGACCTCCGTTGCCATGGCAACGGCCACTATGACCGTCCCCTATGCTTTACAATGGGAGTTCCCCACTGGCCCAAGAACGCGTATCCCCCCCCCCCTTTTCTGCCGTAAAAACGGCTTACACTAACTACAAATCACTCAGAACGTGAGAGGATACAACAATGATACCCGCTAGCCAGAAAAAGTCGGCCGGAATAGTAAATTTGACCTGATAAGAAGACCATTAAATGGCCCGTCATTAGGGCCTTGTACGGGACCTAGCCCTACGACAGGTGCCGAAGTGCAAAGTTGCCGAAATCTCAGCAACCATTTGGATTTGTGGAATAAAATTTGGCCGAGTTTCACATCTTGACTAGTTTTATCGTATAAACGAAAAAAAATTCAAGGTCAAGTTCGTTTAAACTTCCCAACCAATCACATCGCCCTCTAGCGGTTTGCGCCAAATTGCAGGCATAAACAACAAATTCCAAGATGGCCGCCGCTCGTCTCAAAATTCGAGCCGATTGCCGAAGTTTCCTTGTATTTTCCTGGGTATTTCACGCGATTCAAGCAAAGAAAACAAGTTGACCACAAGAACAAAAGAGTAATACAGCCTTGGGAACCTAATGGTCCGTTTTGTTAGGTACTAATTTCTCATTTCGAGTGAAAATTGAATGTGCGGCAGTAGCGGCACAGTGTGAACATGTGGTCTAAAATCACTGATTTTCGGCTCGAACCAAACGCGGCCTGTTATTTCTCTTTTACGATTTCTAGATGACTATCGGTAACGAAAATATGGACAATATTGTTGCAAAATGAGAGATACGGAAACTAAGGTAAATTTCTTTTCTTTTATTTTAATGCTGGATTTTCATTTTCCTGGCTGGCTTCCTTGTATCTATTAGTGATCATCAGTAACAACAAGTAACTTATGGTTTTTTGTTCCGGTCAAAAAAACCGGTCCACCGACGTTTCGTTTTTTTCGGTACGGTCCAAACCGGTCCACATGTCTTGTGCCCCGGGCAACCTGGCTTTCCGAATAAGTCTCGCACAGAAAAAATTACTTCTTGCGCGGCGAGACTGCGAGACCGGGTATTTTAACCCCTGCTAAACAAAGTCCAATCCATTGTCTTGGAAATATTACAGTTTAAACTTTTCACAATATTGGCTGTAATGCATTGGTTGGTGTCCGGCACATGCAGTTGGCTCAACTGTTTGGCTGAAAGAAAACACCATGTACAATAATGACTGTGTAATACAGCCTATTGAACCATGGTGTAAACATACGTATCATGTAACATCCCCAGGTTGCCTTTTGTGCGGGGATACAAAAGACTGTTGACATTAGGCATGACGTAATGGGAAAGTCCCCCGAGTCAGCCTGGGGAAACTAAAAACAGAACTCTCACAAGGAAGTACGGGGAGGAACAGACAAGTACACAGCTGTGGAGTCTCTGCTCTCTGAGACATTCAGGTGAGGTTTAGACAAGTTAAAAAGCATCTACACAGTTTATAGTGGCTACTGGGGTTTGACAGAACCTGTAACCTGTGCATATATACGGTATTGTTACATGTCAACAAAAGGGCACAGACACTGCTAGTTACCTCCATGAAAAATGGAGGTACAATGTATTGCTTTTGGCGTGTCTGTCTGTATGTATGTATGTATGTGTGTGTGTCTTTCTGTCTGTGTTTCCGCAACTTTGTGGTCAGCATAACTTCAGAACGCCTTTATGGATTATGATGATATTTGGTATGTTGGTTAGTCTTAGGAAGACAAACGTCAAGGTCAAATATGGGCCTCCTGGTGGATGACCTTGGTACTGCAGCAGAACTTCCGTTTTTTTTGTCTTTTGTCCTGAACATGCTATGGTCTTGATGTTTTGGTGACAGATTGCTTTTCCTGTCAAGAATAAGTGGTGTGAGTTTGGTCCCCCTAGCAGCTTGTTTTGGAACTGCAGGGCACTTTCTGGCGAAATGTTTAAAAGCCAATAAGTCCAGATACTTAGGAACAACATATTTTCATAATTTTTGGTGTGTAGGTAGCTGAGAGATGTACATTATCAAATGCAAATTATGCAAATGGGGACTTTATTTGCATAATCAATGAAGAAATTCTATGATTACAGTGTTTTACATTATACTACTTTCATACATGTAATGTATGTAACCTATGGCAGGCAGAACATCAACAGATACTAATTATGCAAATGATGTCCTAATTTGCATAATTTATGCAAAAATTCTATGATTTCTTAATGGTGAATAATGGGAATGTCATACTTCGGACATCTGTAAGTTAATCAAAAGTTAACATACATCACGATGCATATATCACGTTAATGCGGAGGTAATTTGCATAATTAAAGAGGAAATTTACATTTACATATCAAGCCCATATTTCATGGAGGTATGAAATCTCGGAATTCTTGCTTGTTTTTGTTTTCCTTTTGTAATTTCCTTCTCTGTCACCTACACATCTTGCAAGTTAAATATATATGTAACCGATGGCTGTTACCACACAAGTTTCTGTACACAATTATTTTTATTAAGCTCCACAAAAATTTACTTGGGGGATACATGATCATACAGTATGTTGCTTAGTATCATAAATTTTGTCATGGAATAACAAGTCCTTCTCTCCTTTTATTAAAGGTAAACAGTAGTATAGGGATCAAAATTGGAACATGTCTGACACCAAGATGACCAGTCTGGCAAACAAGCTACAGAACTTGGAGTTGTGCCTCAAGAGTCAACATGGACAAGAAGTTGGTTTTTATGGACTGGCTCTGAGAGAAGCCATTCTGGGAAAGGATGACTTTATGGAAATAGAAGTCCTGAAAAGTCTTGGAGACCTGCGTCTTGAGAAAGCCAAGCTCAGTAAAGATTCAGCAGAGTTTGACAAGGCTGCTGCCATGTATGCTGCTGCTTTACTGCGCTGCAAAGATCCAGACATGGGAGAAACACTGGGACATCGCTACCAGTATGTGGAGAAACTCTCCAGACAACTGCTGCAGGGGTACAGTCCACACTTCCGGTGGCTGTCACCAGACTACTGGGGTACTGCTGACAGTAATGTCTTAAGGGTGGCAAAAATCTGTGACAAACTGGACAGAAGTGTTAGAGATTCTTTTGAACAGACTTACACAGAAATGTTAGTAACTGCAGTTGAGAACAGTGACATGTTCTTGGAAGTTGAGGTTCTAAAATCCCTCGGAGATTTCTACCTTGAGAAAGGCAAGAAAACCTCAGAGTCTGATGTATCCCAGTTCTCCAAGGCAGCTGCCATGTACAACAAGGCTCTGACAACATGTGGGGATCCTGGGACAAAACTGACTCTACAACATCGTATTAGATATATGGAGAAGATCAGGGAGACAGTGCAAAAGGTATTAAGTACTTGAGAATATAGTTTTTGGAACTTTATGATTATCAGTAGAACAAATTTTGCTTGGAATGGTAAAGGCCATCAAGCTACATGACTTTATTGTATAATTTTTATGCAATGTCATAGATGTCACACAGAACTACAGATTGTAGCAGGAACAAATGCAGGACATTGTAGAAATTGACAACTGTGGCTTAAATCATACAGAAACTGTTGTCAAAGAAACCAAGACCCTGGAGAGAAAAAAGACCACACATCGAGCACCAGTCTGGGAACATCACAAGAACTGACACTCAGGACCAACATCTCCAGACAGACAGAACAAGGTGGGGGAAATCTACAAGAAACTTTTTTATTTGTCTATGTCTAAGTAACATGCATTGAAAAATTACAACAAAAGAAAACAATTACTAAAGCTCTTGTCTCTCCTGTCTAGTTTTTTTATTTTTTTTTATTTTGCTCTACCCCAATCAAAAATGATAACTTAACATGAGGATTTTAACTACAGGTGTCATCATGCAGTAAATGTACACAAAAGAATATTAAATGTTCACCTCAAGTAAGTCTCAATAACTTTCTGTTTGTTTCATTTTTAGAGCATACACCAACCACCTTAAGGAAGGAGACTCCTCCCTTGCCAAGGCAGACCTGGACTCAGCAGAGCAGCACTTTGCAGCTGCACTCAAGATGGTGCATGTGAGAGGTAAGGAGCATTTTAAATTCTTCTTCTTGAATGAACATGTTTTATCTGTAATATTTATGGCTTCACCATGTCTGCACAAAGTGGTGAAGACATTATAATTGTGTTCCCTCACATGTTTTTCCTTCTTCTCCTCCTCCTGCCATTTCTTTAAATGGATTCATCTCTGCCATTTTTGGGCCAAATAAAACTAAATTTGGCATGAAGGTAGAGTGGGCAAATACCCTGACGCGTGTTTTTCAATTTTTTGAAAAATTGTTTTATTTGTTGTTTTTTTTGCCATTTTCAGGCAAAAATATACATTTTGAGATCTGGAGCTCTGGTACTAAAACCAAATGACCTGAAATTTGGTATGGGGATATCTTGGACATATGTCTACAAAACCTCATTCAATCTTTCAACATCCACCACTTTAAAATAGGGAAAAATAGGGCTTTTGGCTATTTTTGGACCAAAAATGTACATTTTTGGCTCCCGTGCCCTAATATTAAATCCGAATGACCTGAAATTCGGTATGGGGATACCTTGGACACATGTCCAAAGAATGGCATGCACACTTTTGACATACACTACTTTAAAATTGTGTAAAATAAGGCTTTTTGGCTATTTTCGAACAAAAAATATACATTTTTGGCTCTTTTGCCCTAATATAAAATCCAAATGATCTGAAATTCGGTATGAGGATACCTTGGACATATGTCCAAAGAATGTCATTCACGATTTTGACATATACGATGTCTTTAAAAGTATGTAAAATAGGGCTTTTTGGCTATTTCCGGCATTGGAAGATTCCGTTGCTGCATGGGGATATAGACTATTGGCAGCCATCGTGGGATAAATCCATTTTCGGTGGGGGATGTGGTGAAGCCATCTGCTGCATTTGCTCCCAAGCAAATGTCGGGCTTTCTAGTTACTGTTTTTTTTTTTTTTTGCATTGTGCAACATTATTGTTTCATGGGTAAAACATAATTGTTTTTCTCCCCAGACCCCACAGCCCAGCAGTACCAGAGAGAGGTGGAACCCCTGTGCAAGATGGGGGATGTCTACAGTAAGCGAGGTCAGCAGACAGGAGACGGGGGAGACTTTGTCAAAGCAGCAGCACTCTACAATGCAGCAATAGCCAGGTCACAGGATAAAGTCCTCAATTGTAACTTAGCAACAGGTATTAGAGAAGTAGACGAATTGTTTCTGAAATGTATCTTAGATGCTGATTCTGTAGCTCAAGATAACACAGAAAAACACAAGAAACAGCTGAAGGAGATGCGGGACCAGATCAAGCTGGAGATGGAAACCATTGACCAGCAGCTGGATCCCTATGTACATGATGAGGACGACCCATGTGTCAGAGAGATAGAGGCAAAACGAGCTCACGCTGTCAGGCAGTTGTTTGATAAAATTTCACAACAAAGGAAGGAGTTCATCAGCCTGCTTGTAGAAGAGTGTATTGGGTTAATGGGTCCCCCTCCCTGTAAGTATGCCCTGATGGGTTTGGGTTCACAGGCCACAGGACTGGTAACTCCATATTCAGACCTGGAGTTTGCCATCTTGGTAGAAGAAGAAAGTGAAGAATGTCTTGTGTATTTCCGTAACCTCACCCACTATCTACACCTCAAGGTGGTCAACCTGGGAGAAACCATTCTCCCAGCACTGGGAATAGAATCTCTCAATGACTTCTACTCTGAGAATCCACTTGAAAACTGGTACTATGACTCTGTTACACCACGTGGGTTTGCATTTGATGGCTCCATGCCAAAAGCAAGCAAGACTCCACTGGGCAGGCAGGGAACTATGGACAAACCACCCAGTGAACTCATCTGCACACCACAAAACATGGTCTCAATACTTCAGAATGATGTCACACTGTACCTAAAGGAAGGATATCATCTTGCCGCTATCTTGAGAAACCCATGCCTGATAGCGGGGGAACAGGATTTTATTGACACATACATGGGCATCACAGTGAAGATACTGCAAGCTGATGGGGGTAAAATGGCTCAACAACTGGCACAGGAGACACTGAAGGATAATATGGAAAACATCAGTAATAAGGAAACAATAACAGCAAAGCTAGTTGATGTAAAGAAAGAAATCTATCGCTTCCCAGCTGTAGCAGTGGACTGCTTGGCACTGTCTTCAGGCATCATACCTACCACAGTTTGGGAGACGATAGAAGAATTGGGAAACCAACAAGTGATCAGTCCCAACAATGCACACCACCTGACAGTGCTTACCAGCATCTCAGCAGAACTCAGGCTCAGAACATACATGGCAAATGGTGGACAGAAGGAAAACCTGTCAGCTTTGGCCTCAATGGAAACAGCACAGCATGGACAGGAGTCATCCCTACAGACCAATGATGAAGCACAGACAAATATGCTGAAACCAGTTTTCTACCTTCAAAATGACAAACAGCTTTTCAGATACTTTTATACTTCAGTGCCTCTGAGGAAGGCTTTTTCTGAATCATTTTCTGAAAAGAAAACAAACCACAGTCCATTCTCAGAATTCTATGATAATTCTCCAAAAGTATGTGGAAGGATGTACGCAGAAGTCTGCAAATACAGGCTGGCTATTAGTTACTATATTGAGGCCTTGAAATATGCTGAACATATAGATACTGAGAAAATAGACTTGCTTCGAGAACTTGGACATATTTGGCATACGATGGGAGACTACCAAAAATCAATTGATTACACCAAAGAGGCACTACAAATATTCAGGAGTATCTATGGTCAGGGTACAGAACATTTTATTATTGCCATTTCACTCAACAACCTGGGGACAGCCTGGGGTGACCTGGGTGATTACAAGAAAGCAATCAGCTACCTTGAACAGGCACTGCAGATATTCAGGAATATCTATGGTCAGGGTACAGAACATCCTGGCATTGCCTTGTCACTTAACAACATGGGGTTTGCCTGGCACCGCCTGGGTGATTACAGGAAAGCAGTCAGCTACTATGAACAGGCACTGCAGATGCGCAGGAGTATCTATGGTCAGGATACAGAACATCCTGACATTGCTTCCTCACTCAACAACCTGGGGTCAGCCTGGGAGCACCTGGGTGATTACAGGAAAGCAATCAGCTACTTTGAACAGGCACTGCAGATGAGGAGGAGTATCTATGGCCAGACTAAAGCACATTCTCACATTGCCAACTCCTTTAACAACCTGGGGTCAGCCTGGTGCCACCTGAGTGATTACAGAAAAGCAATCAGCTACCATGAACAGGCACTGCAGATGTACAGGAGTATCTATGGTCAGACTAAAGCACATCCTGACATTGCCACCTCACTCAACAACCTGGGGACAGCCTGGGGTGACCTGGGTGATTACAGGAAAGCAATCAGCTACTATGAACAGACACTGCAGATGTTCATGAGTATCTATGGTCAGGGTACAGAACATCCTGACATTGTCACTTTACTCAACAACCTGGGGACAGCCTGGAGCCTCCTGGGTGATTACAGGAAAGCAATCAGCTACTATGAACAGGCACTGCAGATGCAGAGGAGTATCTATGTTCAGGGTACAGCACATCCTGATATTGTCAGGTCGCTCTACAATCTGGGGTCAGCCTGGTGCCTCCTTGGTGACCACAGAAAAGCCCTCAGTCTCTGCCAAGAAGCATTGGCTATGGCAAGGCAGATTTACCCCCAAAACACATTGGTCATCCACTGATAAAAGAAGCTGAATCTTATTATCTAGCTGTAATATTATCAAGTCAAGTATCTGCCATGTCCAGTACAGAAGCTACAGATAACAGCCAAGAATCCTAATTCATATTCCACCAGAAACAACTTTGTAATGTTACATGTACATGTAAGAACCATTAGAAACATCTAGACTATGACAGTCAGCACAACTAAAAAGCTTCATCCCTGAAATCAACTAATCTTTCTGTAAAGATGTATTATATAATATAGAGAATGGCAACTGTGCAGTGTATTTAGCAAATAGTAAAACATCAGCTGTATGTGTATTGAGATTCTGTATTTAGTTATTTGGTAAAAATGCACTTTGTTGTAAAACACACCCCAAATATTTCGAAGTGCAATCTTAAACCAGTTTGAGATACTGTATGTGTACACTAACTAATACTAGAGTTGTAACAAACATCTATATATGGAGAAACATTCAGATAAAGTGCAAGAAATAAGATATTCTCTAAAGATATTCTGTAGAATGATATGTGTATGATTAACTTTAGCACATGGAAAAAGACATCTGCATGTATTGTAGTCATTTCAATTTACCGGTAGTAAAAATGCACTTTATTGTAAAAGACACCAATATTTTTAACACTGTGTACACTTTTATCAGTTTGAGATATGTGTAAAACTGTAAATACTAGTGAGTTAGAATTGTAACATATATATGGACAAACATTCAGCTACATGTGTATGCAAGAAATAAGATATTCCCTAAAGATATTCTGTAGAATGATATGTGTATGATTAAAGGAAACCATACATGTAAACCTAATCTGTCTGGCATGTGACATCCACCCAAATCCGGGACCAGTCAGCAACACCTGCGGTACATGCAGTAAGAAAGTCACAAACAAACATAGAGCTATATGTTGTGATACTTTCGATACATGGTTTCATGCGGTTTGTTTAGACCTATCAACCGAGGACTACGATTACTTGTCAAACAGCAGGGATTGTTTTGGATGTTCCATGCCAAGTGCGTCCCATTCTTTCTTTGAAGATTCTACTCAATTATCAGACCAGTATCAATCAAACCTTTTGTCAGATAACCCAGATTATCAATCCATCTTTGACCAACTGAAATCAAAAAAGGGTCTTAAAGTAGCACATTTGAATATACGTAGCTTGTTACCAAAATTCGACGAGTTAAGAATTGGTATGGTACACAATCCTATTGACGTGCTAGCTCTCACGGAGACATGGTTGGATCCCAGTATTGATAACAGCGAATTGTACATTTGCTAATTACACACTTTATAGGAAGGACAGAAATAGACATGGTGGTGACGTGGCTTGTTATGTAAATGATCGTTTGCAACACAAATTAATAACTGATTTAACTGATTTTGACATAGAGAATGTCTGGGTGGAGATAAAATATCCAATCGGGAAACCTATTGTTATCGGTACTGTTTACCGCCCACCAAGTGCAACGGTTTACCATGCAATTCTTTGATATCCTCGAACCGGTCGTGTAGAATGATATGTGAATGGTTTAACTTTAGCACATAGAAAAAGGCATCTGCATGTAATGTAGTCATTTCAATTGGTAAAAGTGCACTTCATTGTAAAACATACAATATTTTGAATTTTGAACAGTGTACACTTTAATCAGTTTGAGATATGTGTACACACTAATAGAGTTGTAACAAACATCTATATACAAACATTCAGCTGTACAAGAAATAAGATATTCTCTAGAGATATTCTGTAGAATGATATGATTAACTTTATCACAAGGAAAAAGACATCTGCATGTAATGTAGTCATTTCAATTTACCGGTAGTAAAAGTGCACTTTATTGTAAAAGGCACCGATATTTTGAGAGTTGTAATAAAAATCTTTGGACAAATGTTCAGCTATGCAAGAAATAAAGATATCATAAAATAGAGGCAATCATGTTTTTTTTTTTCATTTGATATGAGAAATTTAATCTAAACCTACCTACACTATTCCCTGAATAAATTATATCATCAGATATCATAATTATTTTGATGCAATTTTGCCAAACTTGTTTTTAGCTTACTCCTGGCCACCAGTGTTGCCTTAGTTTGTGTGTATAAGTGCATGCATGTGAGCCTGTATGCCTGTGCGTGGGAGAGTGTGTAAATGTTACTGAAACTTTAACATGAATCCTACATGTTTAATGTACTCCCAGGTCCATCTTCTGAGAGTTTGAAGTTGGGCATCTTAGGCCTGGTGTGCACACGTGGGAGAATGTGATCCAGAATTTATGACAAACTGTAGTAAAGGTGAGGGGGATGTACACTGGTTGTTCTGGAAGGTCGCAGAATTGCTGTTGTGGGAGGGGGGTACATGTGTGTGAAGGGGGATGTATGGGGGGGGGTGCATGTATTTGTGTGTGTGGGGGGAGGGGGCAATGACCTTGGTGAATGTAAGAGGAATCCCAGCGTCCATGTTGAGCTGTTCCGGAAGGTCACAGAACAGGGGGGGGGTACATGTGTGTGTGTGGGGGGGGTACAAGTGTGTGGTATACATGTGTACATTGTTTTGTAAGTGGGAGGGGGTACATGTGTGGTGCACATGTGTGTCTTATATTGTACCTGTTACAATGTTGTGCAATAAACTTTGACTTTGTGTGTGTGGAAGGAGTGCATGTAAGAGGAAACACACTGCACAGTTTGGCTAAAGCCCCAGTCATACATAGCCATGCAAACAAGGGCTCCTAACCCTCCCCCATCCATGGTTGGCAGTACATGTATGTACATGTAGGTTGGGAGCAAGCAAAGGTTGGCTCCAGAGTGTTATTGTTATCTTGAAAGTTACTTAATCTGTGTAATGGTACAAGTCATTACAAACAGCTTCCATAACAAGGCAGGGCTCGAAATTCATTTTTGGGAATAGGTGCACTGGTGCACCCAACCTAAAAAGTTAGGTGCCAAAAAAATTTTGTGGGTGCAACATTAAAAACAAAACGTAACAAGAAGCCATAGGCGACAATCCTCCGTGAAGTTTTATATATTTCAACAAAATCCCAAGCGTCAACGCCAGACCTACTGTGCAAAAGCATCTGGAACCACTTATCAAAACCACCCCGTATCTGCATGAAGTTCCACCCCCCCACTGCTATTCCAAACAACGCGTTTTTCTGGACCATTCCAATTTGCCTCGTAATTGTAGGGGTGCGTCTGCAATATTACATTGACCGCGAAAGCAGCAACGGCAAAAATACACATTCGTGCATCAACACGGGCATGCCCGCAGACGGCATATAAAATTGCGTGCCGATTACACAAAGAGAACCCAGTGTTTTGACTGCAAACATGAAAAATCAGCCGATCACAACACTCCGTCCGGAGGTCCTGACCTCCTTCACGGAGTAATAATTACAAATCTTACTGGTCCTCTTCTGAGCTTGAATCTGAAATGGGAGCTAAGTTTAAGACCAAATCAGAATCATTGTCTGTTTTATTACTAATATCTAGCTGGTGAGTATTTCCCTTACCTTATATCCAGAGTTGTGAGTCTGCTCAGCTGTCCTATCTCTGTCCCCAGGGCTGACAGCTTGTTGAACCCCAAGTTCAAGTCTGTCAAGGTCGCGGCCAGCTGCACCAGTCCGGTGGGGAAGGTCGTCAGGACGTTCTTACTCAGGTTCATGTCTGAGACGTACATGTCACGTCCTGTCTCCAGTAGGTCGTCTGGGACACTTGAGGCATTCTTATTACTGGAAAAAAAAACAGGAAGCACGTAAAGGACTTTATGTCATACCTGGGCCGAGATTACGTTCAATACGGGTGTTCCGATCTGTGTAACAACTAGCGGTACGGCCCGGGGTATTAGTCTTAACGGGTAAGGCCTCAGCCAGGGCTTACAAAATTAATGTTCCATCGAACGATTCGAACGCGTTTCGCCCTAACCGCTTGCACCGTTTTCGAAAATTCAAATACAAAATTCAGACATTTGGAATTGATGTTGTAGCATTTTTGGGTTTTATAGGGACACCAAAGTTGAGCTCATTTTGCATTGAAAGGCATGTTTTCTTGGGTGGGTATGACATAATTTCTGCCGTCGGGCGATCCGATGCACGGTCGGACTGGTACCTCAGGCGATATGGAATACCCCGTGTTGTATTCTATATATTAGAAGCACAGTAGGGGGAAGTCAGTGGTGGGCTCGGATGAAAATGGTTCTTGACCTGACATTTAGTCATTGACAAGTACTCTTACGTCAAAATATTTACTATTATATAGCATTCATGTCGATTGCTGTACAATTTTTTGACTGAAGAGCGGTATTTTTTTAAGCTCTGTGAAAATGTTTTTCCAAAGTACTGTAACAGTTATTCCTGATCTTATGCATTCATTTATTCTCTTTTCTTCTTTTTTATTACATGAATTTTTTTGACATTATTAAGGACAGTAAATAAGTTATAATATAGAAAGGCAAAATGATCTTAACGTCAGTCCTACCTGTAGTTGATAGATTTAGTTTTGTGGACGGTGAAGGTGTCGATGGTGGAACAGTAAGGACAGTAAATAAGTCAGTCCTACCTGTAGTTGATAGATTTAGTTTTGTGGACGGTGAAGGTGTCGATGGTGGAACAGTAAGGACAGTAAATAAGTCAGTCCTACCTGTAGTTGATAGATTTGGTTTTGTGGACGGTGAAGGTGTCGATGGTGGAACCTGGTACGGTAGGCTCAGGGTCAGGGGTCAGAGGAGCCGCGTCTCTGCTCTTAGGTTCTAACAACAAGGGTGAACATGTGGGGTTATAGATGTTGAAAAGTTTATTGCAAATTTTTGCCCGGGGTTTATTACAAAATTATTATTACAAAACATAAGAGAGCAATGAAACAGAGTACAAAATAACTAAAGTCTAAATGATAAAGGTAGCTGTCTAGAACTATAAGTAAACTATGTCTAAAACTATGTCTGAAGGGTTTGACTTGGAAGACGAAATGTCCCACCTTTTCCAAAATTTGTGGGTTTTGGGGAGTTAAAAGAAGAATAGTAACTTTTTTTCTTGGTCTGTAACTAAGTTTAGAGAAATTGGGATAAATTGTAGAAGTTTGAATAGTCAACTCATTTCGAGCGTTGTTATACACTCTGTCTGGTGTTAACTCATTATGTAAGCTGTGCTAGTCGTACAACAACTATAACAAGTTACTCATAATAGAGTTTGCTCCAATTTGAAAGAATCTATGTTACCTTACTATAATAGTATACAACGGAAAAGAACTAGCATAAATACATGTGTTAAAAAAAGCAGCTGCAATGAAACTTTTCAGTGAACTTCTGATGATTATTTTAGAAAGTTTTTTTCACTACAAAATGTATAAGTTGTAAGCGCACTTTATGTACTATATGGTGTTGGATTTTTCTACAACCAAGGAGGAAGTTCTTTCACACAATCTTCAATGTTCTGTGTTGATTTAGAACCCCCCAACCCCACAAAAAAATCACATATTATCAAGTATTTACTTACAGTAAATAATTGCTAATATCATGACAGGTAAAGCACAAGGTCATTATATTTTACCAGCCCGTCTTTTGTTTTGCGGATCAAAAAACTAGTGGTCATGCAGTCAATGTACTGTATAATTAATCTTTGTCATATCAGGTGACACAAAGGACATTTCATTCTTGAACAACAATATTAGGCCACATCAATTTAATTTGTTGTTTCTCTGAGTTTTTCAGAAAAAAGATGAAGCGACAGGGCAAAAAAGAAACAGGCCAAGGCACCCCATGATAGCTGGAAATGTTAGGATGTAAGCCATGAAGTGAACATACCAGGCTGGTTTATAATTAAAACAATAAATATTAAATAGATTTTGAACTTAAGGAACATAAGGAACTACTAACAATTAGGAAGAAAAGGACTTTCTTCAACTGTTGAGGCCAAAATGTTATTTTGCAGTTGATTTAGAACCTAAAACCTTTTTTTTTTTGCAAATCAGAAAAAATGGACAGGTCTAATCCAAAAACAACAAATTACATTGGTGTGGCCTTGTGTTGCTATATTTTAGAATAGAGGATTAAAGAATGCAAGGTGCCCATTATTAGCTACCTGAAGAGTGTGAAGTTGGAGTAGAGAGAGCACCTGGCCAAGAGGTGACTGTGTGTGGCATTATGAAGTAGGGAGATTAGTACACTACATGTAGCAGAGCCTTCATAAAACAGTCTTTAAAAAGTCAGGCAGAGACATGCATTACAATTTACATTACATTACAAGAGAAAGTGCTGTGTACCTATGAAAAAAATATTGAGTACATTACATGTATTTCTAGTATATAGTGCTGCAAGTTGACTGCGGAATCATCACGTACATGTACACTAAGCAAGGCAAACAGTTTGACCTGCACATGCTAAACAAAGGTGAGGCCCTGATCTTGCAGACAGTTCTGTCTGGACCAAGCTTGACTAGTGCTGTGTACTTAAACCCACATTTAGGTTCAGGTCCGGATTCAAGTTAAGAGGTTTAGGGTTAAGTTCCAGACTTGTAAGTCCGGCCCTAAACCCATGGCATAATATACAAATTTAAATTACATGTTGGCAACCTTGCACTGTCGTTTGGGCAAAACTTTGGCCACATAACATGGAGGCTGACACTTGACGATGCCCGATGGCAAAGTTTTCTTCATTTCGCAGCAAAGATTTTGCAATTTACGGAAGGTTTTAAGTGGTTTGGAAAGAAAAGGGATATGTGATATGTATTTTTTTTTAATAAGTCCCGAATCAGTTCTTGACTTTTAGGTTTTTTTGGACTTGAACCTAAACATTTTTACAAGTCCGGAACCGGTCCAGTGAACCAGTACACAGCACTTAGTAGACAGTTCTGTATGGACATCACATTTTTGTCAGGGGCATACTAACAAACTGTGCATGCCTAGTTCAAACTGTGGCAAGCTTATTACAAGTTAACTGCACTGGAAGAAAGACAGACAGAGAGAGTGCCTTACATGTGACCAAACTAACCTCTAGAGTGTGTGTTGCCACCATTTTGTTGTTCTGTTTCCCGAGAAAGAGTGAGTATATATAACAGTCAGAGAAGAATTGGAGAAAAACAGTCAGTGTAATATACAAGGCAGAAATGCTACTAGCAGTAACTGCAACGTTGGTACATGTACTACTGTATTTATAATTGTACATGTAAGTAAAAAAAGGAATATTTTTATAGAAACATGCCAGCATGCATCTGTTAATAGTTAAACCAGGTTGGTATAAAAATGGATGATACAGTTCTTTGTTGCACAATGAGAACAATTTACATACATCGATCTGCCGATGTTTCAGTAGTATTTCAATCTGCTACCTTCAGTAGGGCAATACTGACTACTGTAGTTCTACTTCCCACTGCTAGGTGGTGCTGCTAAGCCATGGAGCCTTAAAGCTGCATTATGTTAAGTATTTTGAAATTCTTTAGTGTGATTTGTCATTTACTTCTATGTAACATTTTTATGCCATTATCTCACATTTTTGACATTTTATGGTTGGTGCTAAAACAGAGAAATAAATTGCCACCTTCACTCCCTGAATGCAATGTAATAAGAGTAGGGTCGAATCAACTTACCTTGTAAATTAAAAGATACATGTATGACTGGAAAATTCACTTTTTTGGATTGTCCTAATGTTATAGAATGCAGCTTTTTATCAGAAAATCTGCTCAAGTGATGAGCTCTGGTCTACAGCGCCACCTAGTGGCAAGAACCAGAACCTCAGTTAGGCCACAGCAAGTAATTTTCATGGATAACATCAGCGCGCACATTGATTTTCACCTGATTTTGGAAAAAAAAGAAATTTTGTTGCCCTCTGACAGTGGTCAATATGTCAAAAATGCGCAAAGATGTCTGTTGCCATGCCGGAAGGGGGATGGCAGATAACTATGAAGAGAGGAGACAAGAAAAGGCTCTAATTTAATGTTTTGTTTCTTACTTTGATGCAGAGATATTTGATGCTGGCTGTGTATATGTGATGTTCCTACTGAATCAAAACCATTTGTACCATGATTGAGTCAAAACTTTAAAAAGTAGGAACCTTCTTTTTCGGCCCGCCTTGTTTTTTTTTTCACCTGCTCCCATTAGATTTGGAGTCTGCGGAGGATGTCATCCATAAAATTTACTTGCTGTGGCCTCAGTTGCCAAAACATGGAAAGTAAATACTTTTGGTGGTGCAACAAAATACTGTATCATGCTCGTATGGACTACAAATGAGGAAGGAGAAGTGAGATGTCACCTTCAGACCACCCTGGGAATGAGAATTGTGCTGCAGGGTGGGGTCATGTAGTCAGTCAAGAGGAGAGAACAAAGAAAAGTCAGTTAAACTATAATAATAGGAAGGTGTCCATGTGTGGTTCGGAAGATTTATTTATGATTAGTCCATGCAGGTTAGACATCCAGGTTATGAGATACATAAGAAAACACTGAACTCAAGCAGCTGGATAGACTTTTGTTTCCTATGGACTGCCCGACTGATATTCGTGTTTTACCTCATTTACAAATGAATTAAAGCCCACACCAATTTAATTTCTTGGTTAACGAATTCGCCCGCTTCATTTCTTTCTAATTTTCAAATTTAAAAAAAAATTCAGAATCAACTGCAAAATGCTCATATTTTGCCCTGAACAGTTGAAAACAGTCCTTTTCTTCCTGGTTGTTACAGTTATTCCATCTTTCAAATGATGCAATCATGGTATCATTAAAAGTTCAAAATTCATTGTTTAAATTTTGAACCAGCCTGGTGTGTTGACTTCATGGCTCCTATCGTACCATTTTGGGCCATAACAGGATGCCTAGGCCTGTTTTGTTTTTTTATTTTTTTTTGCCCGCCCGCTCCATTACTTTTCTAGAAAAATCCGTTAACCAAGAAATTAAATTGGTGTGGCCTAATTTAATTTAATTTAATAATTTTTGGATAAACAACTGATTCCGTTTTCACTCAGACAAAAAGGAGTGGATGCTATTTGAAAGGTCCAGCAGTTTGCAAAATCAATTCATGGCCTTTGCTTGAGTAACAGTTTTCTTCTGTAATAATATTCATGACTATGATTTGGCAAGAATGGATTTGTGACACAGGAGTTGATTTTCATTCATACTGGATGGCGACTTCATTTTCTGACTTCCACATGCTGACACATGCTGAAAGTATTAGTGCAATTCTGTGAATGCTTATTTTAAATTTAGTAGAACATACGTCATACGGTACATGCAAGATAGTTTCACATTGTTTACTAAGATAGATACATTTCTCACCTTCGATTCTAGTCCGTAGATATTTCAGCAGTTCACTGGTCCCTCTCTGTATTAAAATAAAACATATTAAGATATGATTTTTGGAAGTGTATGCTATTTGTTGCATGATGTTCATTTATATTATAAACTTAAGATTGTCTATGGTTTCATTTTCTTACAGTATACACAGTAATTTTGTAGATTCTAAGTGTAGATGTGGTTATGGAGAGTTTCTCTGTTGAAAATGGCTTGTTTGATTTACCCCAGTCTGTGTATGAAGTTTTTGTTTGTGTGTATGTCTGTAAATCTGATGATGTGTATGTCTGCGAGTCTGAATAGATATCATGATAAGGCCACACCAATTTAATTTGTTGTTTCTCAGATTTTTCAGAATAAATATGAAGCGACAGGGCAAAAAAACAAACAGGCCAAGGCACTCCATGATAGCCAGAAATGTTAAGATATGAGCCATGAAGTCAAGATACCAGGCTGGTTTATAATTAAAATTATCATAGATTCTGAACTTTTAATCAAACAAAATTGCATTTGACAACTAGGAAAAGGACTTTCTTCTCAACTGTTAGGGCCAAAATATGTCTTTCATTGTCAATGAGCATTTTGCAGTTGATTCAGAACCTGAATCTTTTTTTTTTGCAAATCAGAACAAATGGTGTGGCCTAACTATTATCATGATATCATGAAGACCTGAATTGTCTGTGGTTAGGTCATGATGAGACCTTGAAATAATAAGACGTTTGTCCCCTGGTTTTAAATCACATGGCTTGCTTTCTCTTAAAATCTATTCTTTTTGGTAAAATAAGAAGAATTACCTGTATGACGTCCCTGCGGATGGTGCGGAGAGGGTTGCCGTCCAGGTTCACAGACTTCAGAGACGACATCAACCCCAGACTGAAGGGGAGGCTGAGAGAAAAAAAAAACATTGAAATATTGAGAAGTTAAAGCTAAAATTACAACAGATAGAAATGTACATTGCCTCAATAACAACACTCTCTATAATGACAAGAAGCGTCTACCTAATTTCTTTCTCTGAAATAACAAAAAAAAGGTTAAAGATACAACAGCATCAGCAAACATGACATATGAGTGATCTCCTCAGGTATGCTGGACAAGGTGCATAACTAGCTAATTAACTAGCTAACTAACTAGCTAACTAACCTGCTGAGATCGTTGTTAGACACCTCCAGACTCTGCAAGTGTTGCATGTGAGTGATCTCTTCAGGTGCTTAACTACGTGTAGTTAACTAACTAGCCAACTAACTAGATAACTAACCTGCTGAGATCATTGTTAGAGAGCTTTAACCTCTGCAGGTGCTGCATGTGAGTGATCTCCTCAGGTGCTTAACTAGCCAACTAATTAGCTAACTAGCTAACTAGCTAACTAACTAGACAACTAACTAGACAACTAACTAGATAACCAGCTAACCTGCTGAGATCGTTGTTAGAGAGCTCCAGCCTCTGCAGGTGCTGCATGTGAGTGATCTCCTCTGGTGCTTAAAGAGATATCTAACTGGCTAACTAACTAGCTAACTAACTAGCTAACTAACCTGCTGAGATCATTGTTAGAGAGCTCCAGCCTCTGCAGGTGCTGCATGTGAGTGATCTCTCTTTAGGTGCTTAACTAGCTAACTAACTAGCTAACTAACTAACTGATATCGTTGTTGGAGAGCTCCAGCCTCTGCAGTTGCTGCATGTGAGTGATCTTCTCAGGTACTTAACTAGCTAACTAACTAGCTAACTAACTAGCTAACTAACTAGCTAACTATCTAGCTTACTAGCTAACTAACCTGCTGAGATCATTGATAGAGAGCTCCAGCCTCTGCAGGTGCTGCATGTAAGTTATCTCCTCAGGTGCTTAACTAGCTAACTAACTAGCTAACTAACTAACTAGCTAACTAACTAGCTAACTAACCTGCTGAGATCATTGTTAGAGAGCTCCAGCCTCTGCAGGTGCTGCATGTGAGTGATCTCCTCAGGTATGCTGGTGAGTTTGTTGTCTCTGAGATCCAGCAGGATCAGTCCAGGCAGGAGTTTCAGGTGCTCAGCTGACAGACAGGCGATCAGATTAAACCCTGCATGGAGTTCCTAACAGGAACATAGTGGTGGTAGTTAGTGTTGCTACCTGAAGGTTCTGGGTTCAAATCCCTGGTTGTACCCTTGGGAAAAGCACTTGACGCGTGCACATGTACATGTATATCCTCATTTAATTTAGTGTGGTAACATATCCTTGGTGCTGAAAAGCCATCACAGCTAAGATTTTGGCACATTGATACACTTTCTTCATGAACATTCATGCAACCAGCATTCCCTTTTTTTAGACTAGTGCATTTTTACCTCCATGAAATGTGTCATGGAGGTTATATTTTCAGTTGCGTTTATCTGTCCGTCCGTCTGTTGGTCAACAAGATAACTCAAGAACGCCTGGATGGATTGGTTTCATACTTGGTGTGTTGGTAGGGTGTGACGAAAACTGGAAATGATTAGATTTTGGTCCCCCTAGTGGCTTCCCTTGGTACTGCAGCGCAACTTCCGGTTTTGATATCTCGCAATCTGGACATGCTAGGGTCATGAAATTTTGATGGAAGGTAGCTCTCGTGCTTGGGAAGAAGTCATATGAGTTTGGGCCCCCTAGCGGCTTGTTCTGGAACTGCAGGGCACTTTCTGGCAAAATGTTTAATAAGCCAATAAGTCCAGACAGGAACAACATATTTTCATTATTTTTGGTGTGTAGGTAGCTGAGAGAGAGATGTACATAATTAAATGCAAATTATGCAAATGAGGACTTAATTTGCATAATTAATGAGGAAATTCTATAATTACAGTGTTTTACATTATACTACTTACATACATGTAATGTATGTAACCTATGGCAGGTGGAACTTCAACAAATACTAATTATGCAAATGATGACCTATTTTGCATAATTAATGCGGAAATTCTATGATTTCGTAATGGTGAATGATGAGAATGTCATACTTGGGACATCTGTAAGTTAATCAAAAGTTAACATACATCACGATGCATATATCATGTTAATGCAGAGGTCATTTGCACAATTAAAGAAGAAATTTACATTTACATATCAAGATCATATTTCATGGAGGTATGAGATCTCGGAATTCTAGTTTAACCATTTCTTTATATACAGGGCTTGGAACTTATTTCATAAAAACTTTGCTTCTCTAAAATAACTTTTGTTAATTTGAAAGTAGAGTACAGTACAGTTTTTGTATTAAGCAATACCTACATGAAGTAACTTTTTAATATATAGTACTTATAGTAATAACTGATGATAGTAGTAATAACTGATGATAACTGGTTGATGATGACTGGTTTATTGATTTAAAACCTTTTGCAGCCCGAAGGCTAAACTTAAAGATTGTATTTCGTGCCCAATGATATTAAGAATACCAACTAAAACCGGACCAGAATATGCTGTACAATACTATTAGTATAGGTGCACCAATAGTTAAAAATTTGGTGCACAAAGTGCATGTGTACCCAGTATTTCTAGCCCTGATAATATATTAGGCCACACCATCTTAATTTTATGGATGACATCCTCTGAAGACCTAGCCTGGTTGCCATCCCCAGTAGTATATTCGCCAGCTCTATAACTGGGTCTGGGCTTGATGACATATGAAACGTCTGGTGATGACGTCACGTAATGAGCTAGTCCAAGCAGCGGGTCTTCATTTGATTGGCTGACCCTCAGAGGTGACGGCCAATGGCGCGCCTGTATTATTCAAGTGATGTTTGTTGTTTGTAAACACAGATCTTCGCGCGAGTGTTCCTTTTCTCGGTGCGTTCTATTTTTGCGAGGTCAACATCAAGCTCCGAGAGCTGAGCAGCGGCGTGTGCGCCAGCCATGTTGATGATCGATCGAGGAAAGTACACTGACTACGGCTGTATCAAGCGCGCTTTAGCGTTCGGCGTCGGACATGTTGATGATAATAATAAATAATTAAAGATAAGAATAACGATCTATCCTAACGTAGCCGTTCGGACGTTCGAACGGACGCTAACGTCGCCGTTCGGACGTCCCTTACCTAATATGTACACACCCAAAAAAGGGCTAAGACAAGTAGGACCAATCAGCGCGCTCGTTCAAAATCTGAACGAATATTTAGACTCCAGACGCTACATATGTCATCATGTCCAGACCCAGTTATAGAGCTGGCGAATATACTACTGCATGGGGACGGCACCCAGGCTACTGAAGACCCCCAAAATAGTGCGCACGAGCAAATAAAAAAAAATTCCGGCCAAAAAAAAAAATGGTACTTAACCACAGGAATACAAAGCTGGTATTGTGAATTTGCAGTAGTACATGTTGTACTTAGCGACATATACGACAAGCCGTTATACTCTGTGGCTTTTTGCAGAATTAATGATGAATTGGCACTGTACATACAATGTACTACTATCATACCTTGAGCTGTTCACATTGCTTGAGGTTAGGGAACTGGCTCAGCTTGTTGTACTTGATGTACAGCTGCTCCAGTTTACCCAGTCTGCCCAGGTCGGTGGGGAGGTTCTCTAACTGGTTATTGGACAGATCCAGCACCCTGATGTTGTGCAGGTCTCCTATCTCCGGAGGAAGACTGGTCAGTTTGTTGTGCGAAGCGTTGAACTTGGTGAGCCGGGAGACGTACCCGATACTCGGTGGGAGCGCGGGGAGCTCGTTGTGGGAGATGTCCAGGTCTTCCATGTGCGCCAGCGTACCTGTAAGAAACAAGAGGAGCCAGTAGAAATAGATAAAACGAGGGGTCACCTTCGTGGACGAGACCAACAATACCTAATACACGCCGAAGGTCAACGGTCGCGACCACTTTCACGCTCAAAGGGGTGTTCTGGGGCCACCAAAAGGCACCATTTTCATGCCCGAAAAAACATACAATAAAAGCAAAAGAACGTGCATTATCTGCAGCCCAATAGCAAAACATATACCGAGTCTCAAAATAATCCATCCACCCAAACGCGAGAAACAGCTGCGAACATGAAAATCTAAATCTCTCACCCAAAACCCTTCACGGAAGGATGTCTCCTCCCCCGGAGGTAAAAAACCTGGTCCCAGGCCCGGGCTCTAAACGCTTGACCAAAAAGGTCTAGACCCATCGGCCGGGTCAGTCGGCCCGGCCAGTCTATAAACCCCACACTGTTACACTACTCCCCCTTTTCTTTTCAAGATTCGTCCTCGAATCTTCCGAATCTTCCGATTCGTCCTCGAATCTTCCGAATCTTCGACATCCCTGGAGCGGCACTCTTTGCCAGAACTCCCAGGGCCGGTGTGGGATCAGGGGTCGAAATAACCCTCTGTGTGCAACTTAGTGCAAGTACATGTAAATTTGGTGTCGTGCAACTATTTTTTCGCCGATATGCACGGCGGTGCAAGTTTGCATTATCCGTTTGCATGTAGAAATGTCCAATATTAAAAAGAACTGGAAAGGGAACAAGGAGCCTGCCAAGAAAATGAAAATCCAGCCTTAAAATAAAAGAAATTTAGCTTACATGTAGTTTCCGTCTCTCTCATTTTGCAACAATATTTTCCCATATTTTTCGGTACCGATAGTCATAATATTGGATGCTATTAAAGTTACTACATGTACTATTATTTTTGGGGGGTGCAACTATTTTTCTTCTGGTGCAACTATTTTTTTTTTCATCTGCACCAGTGCAAGTTGGCCCCAAAATCTATTTCGACCCCTGCGGGATATACGAAAAAGGAGGAGATAGTAGAAACAGATAAGGTCCCGGGCCGGGGTTCGAACCTACGACCTCCCAGGCACCAGTCCGACGCTCTAACCGCTCGGTCGGGTCAGTTGGTAGCGCCTATAAATGATAAACCCCCCAATCTTACATACCGATGTCATCAGGAAGCTGGCTGAGTTTGTTGTAGTCGACGTGAAGGTACAGCAGGTTGCTGAGATGGCACAGTTCTGATGGGAGCGACTTCAGTTTGTTGTGGCTGTGAGAAGATTAGGGAACAAAAAAATAAGAGATTTCAGATTTCTGGGAATCATTTGGGGTTGTGTAACTTTTCACCCTATTTGCCTGTTAATCCACATGCTGTCAATCAACTTTGAAATTCATTCTTACCCACTGCATGTAGCATGGATTGAAAGTAGTAGACCTAGTAAGACATGTTTCATATTGAAGAAAATACTTTTGCAATAATATTGTACATAGATTCACAAACAGGCAAAACTAAGCTTAAGTACCTGGATACTTCTAGTACTTCTATACATTCTACGTAGTTCTGTTTTCTTGTGCATTTGATGTGAAAAAATACATTTATTTCAAAAGAAGTTATACTCTTACCTTGCATTTAGTCTCTGCAGGTGTTGTAGCTCTCCTATCTCCTTTGGCAAACTTGTCAGCTCATTATCATGAACCTGTTTCAGAAATTACAAACAGTTTTTAGCATGGTCAATTCTATCTACAAGTTATAAAAAATTATGGAGATCTTACTGTCATATGTACTTTGCCTTAGAGTTAGAGAAATATTTTAATACATGTTTTCTCTAGTGTAGCTAAAATGAGACATCAGAGATTTCATACCTTCATAAAAGTTAAATTTGAATTTGATGTTTTATTAATCATTATTATAACTTTCTCTGATTATGTCTTTGAATGCACTCGCACCCACTACCAACAGACCCCAGGCCATTCTACTGCTGCTCTATCCAACAGTTCCTGGGACCTAACTTCCTGTGTCTGACCTTTTGTGGTGTAGTAGTAATGTGTTGTCATCAATCAACTGTACAGATGCATGTACAAAATGAAACAATATAATACAAACACACTCCAAACGATAGCTCCATTTTCACACAATCATTCTATAAATTATAATTCCATATTTGGTGCTGTGTACCGGTTCACTGGACTTGGATCCGGACTTGTAATAATGTTCAAGTAAACAAAACCCTAAAAGTCAAGAACTGAGTCCGGACTTATTACCATGTCACATACCCCTTTTCTTTCCAAACCACCTAAAACTAAATTCCGTAAATTGCAAAATCTTTTCTGCAAAATGAAGAAAACATTGCCATCGGGCATCGTCAAGTACCAGCCTCCATGTTATGTGGCCAAAGTTTTGCCCGAACAACATTGTAAGGTTGCCAAAAACATGCAATTTTGTATATGCCATGGGTTTAAGTCTGGACTTACAAGTTACAAGTCTGGAACTCAACCTAAACCTCTGGACTTGAATCCGGACCTGAACCTAAAATTGGGTTTAGGTATGCATCGTTAGGTGTGGCCCAACCAATAATTCTA